TTGATTTTATAGATTAGGTGTATTTTAATTGTTTTACCTGTTTTTGTTGAAAAAATATGTACGCTATATATCTGATAACTCATCAGAATTTCATTATGTAATTAAAAGCGATATTTTATTATAAATTGTTTTTCACTAATGATTTCTTTATTATCTTATCACTTAAAAGGATTTTCAATTAACGGGAGGTATTATGTCATTGTTGATTTTAATATATCAATGTTAAGGTGCCGTAATATTATGTGCCAATGAGGGGAGAGAGAGAGAGAGAGAGAGAGAGAGAGAGAGAGAGAGAGTACAGAATTATAAGTTTTGTAAAATATACGGTATTCGTGTGAATCACACTGTATGACCATGGTGTGATAAATTACTTTTAAAATATTTGTGAACCGAACCATTAGACTAACAGATATAAAAAAAAAGTAACTTGGTTTATTCATTAATTTTTGTTTCTAAACTTCATATAAAAATTCATTTATCGATAGTTTAAAAATGACTTGAAATTCTTGAATAAATTCAACACAAACTAAAAGTGCGGTCAAAGTGTTGAGTGAACGCCACCTATGGCTGCATTGACTGAATGGTTGTATTTGTTGTGCAATTAGTGCGCGATTTTGACACTCATTTCAATCTCTACGAGACTCGCATTCATACATACAGTTCATGAAAGAGCACTGAAAACATTGAATCATTTGTTTCGCAAACTTTGCCGTCAATTGTGTCCACAAATCGCGTAACCATTGCGTGAAGCGTTGCTATCATTGCAAACAAATGAGTAAAACAGCAGTCAATCGGGTATTAGACAAACGGATTGGCAGTGATTCACGCGAAGAGTATTTGGTGGACAGGACTACGAATGGGAAACCCACTCACGAGTGGATATCACGCAAAGACATGCCCGCAGAGTGTCAACAGCTGATGGATGACTACAATAAGACACCGAAAAGCAACGGATGTGCCGATGGAAAGGTCACAACCAATGGCATCANCAGTGACAGTGATCTTCAAAGGCTGAATATGTGTTGGGTTTTTGTGATCCGACCAGAAAATAGCCAACTCCTGCGCCTAATATAATGGACAGACATATCCACACATTGAATGTCATAACCGCTAACATAAGCAGATATGATATGAACACTTGGAGTATATGTAGAAATGTTTGCCACAGATGTGCGACTGATAGCCGTTTAATAGCGGGCCTCACAATCCTGTCCCGGGTTGTTGTGAGGGGACTCTCATACTTGTCAGCTGCTGATGGGCCCGAGTCTTGAGTAGTCGTACTGGAAGCTGCCGTTCCGTTCTCTTCGTGAACATGACCTCCGAGTAGGGATAGAGCTTTGGATGAGTGGACCTGTAACTTCTCATTCATTAGAGAGCTATGAATATAACTCATTATTCACTTCATAAATTAAATATCAAATTGATTTGTAGTTTAATTTTAAATAATTCGCAAATATATTTATAGCATTTAAATAAAGTCTATAAAAATCACTTTCAAATAGATTTGATATGCGATGAAAAACCGTATAAATATAAATAGTTTGTAAGACGTGTCCATTGACTGTCAATTATTCAGTGACAGTGATCTTCAAAGGCTGAATATGTGTTGGGTTTTTGTGATCCGACCAGAAAATAGCCAACTCCTGCGCCTAATATAATGGACAGACATATCCACACATTGAATGTCATAACCGCTAACATAAGCAGATATGATATGAACACTTGGAGTATATGTAGAAATGTTTGCCACAGATGTGCGACTGATAGCCGTTTAATAGCGGGCCTCACAATCCTGTCCCGGGTTGTTGTGAGGGGACTCTCATACTTGTCAGCTGCTGATGGGCCCGAGTCTTGAGTAGTCGTACTGGAAGCTGCCGTTCCGTTCTCTTCGTGAACATGACCTCCGAGTAGGGATAGAGCTTTGGATGAGTGGACCTGTAACTTCTCATTCATTAGAGAGCTATGAATATAACTCATTATTCACTTCATAAATTAAATATCAAATTGATTTGTAGTTTAATTTTAAATAATTCGCAAATATATTTATAGCATTTAAATAAAGTCTATAAAAATCACTTTCAAATAGATTTGATATGCGATGAAAAACCGTATAAATATAAATAGTTTGTAAGACGTGTCCATTGACTGTCAATTATTCAGTGACAGTGATCTTCAAAGGCTGAATATGTGTTGGGTTTTTGTGATCCGACCAGAAAATAGCCAACTCCTGCGCCTAATATAATGGACAGACATATCCACACATTGAATGTCATAACCGCTAACATAAGCAGATATGATATGAACACTTGGAGTATATGTAGAAATGTTTGCCACAGATGTGCGACTGATAGCCGTTTAATAGCGGGCCTCACAATCCTGTCCCGGGTTGTTGTGAGGGGACTCTCATACTTGTCAGCTGCTGATGGGCCCGAGTCTTGAGTAGTCGTACTGGAAGCTGCCGTTCCGTTCTCTTCGTGAACATGACCTCCGAGTAGGGATAGAGCTTTGGATGAGTGGACCTGTAACTTCTCATTCATTAGAGAGCTATGAATATAACTCATTATTCACTTCATAAATTAAATATCAAATTGATTTGTAGTTTAATTTTAAATAATTCGCAAATATATTTATAGCATTTAAATAAAGTCTATAAAAATCACTTTCAAATAGATTTGATATGCGATGAAAAACCGTATAAATATAAATAGTTTGTAAGACGTGTCCATTGACTGTCAATTATTCAGTGACAGTGATCTTCAAAGGCTGAATATGTGTTGGGTTTTTGTGATCCGACCAGAAAATAGCCAACTCCTGCGCCTAATATAATGGACAGACATATCCACACATTGAATGTCATAACCGCTAACATAAGCAGATATGATATGAACACTTGGAGTATATGTAGAAATGTTTGCCACAGATGTGCGACTGATAGCCGTTTAATAGCGGGCCTCACAATCCTGTCCCGGGTTGTTGTGAGGGGTCTCTCATACTTGTCAGCTGCTGATGGGCCCGAGTCTTGAGTAGTCGTACTCGAAGCTGCCGTTCCGTTCTCTTCGTGGACATGACCTCCGAGTAGGGATAGAGCTTTGGCTGAGTGGACCTGTCGGTAGTACTTTAAGGACTCGTACACTACGGCCAGTACGAAGAAGAAGACACAGACGCCAAACATTGCTTTCGATTAAACGCATTGAATATAAATGAAAATTCATAAGAATTTGTGCATAAAATTAATTGTATTAAAAAATTCCTGAATCTTGAGAGATTACTTAAACATAAATAAATTTGAAAAATCTTTCAAAATCAAACTTTGATTAATTGCTAAATAGATTGGTGGGTGTATTGCATCCATAGATTCTATAGCATACCTCCATCAGTAGTAGCAACCCATTTCTCAAACAAAACCATTTTCTCGTATCCGGTGTGGAAGTACATCTTCATACCCATATCCATATCCATACCTCCGCCACCACTGGAATCAGTGGTTGGCATATCCATAGTCGGGTCCATTGTCATTGGCATACCATTCATCTTGATGTTCAACTCTAATTAAAGTTTGTTTTGCGAAACGAATGCAATAGTAAATTATGAGATAAATTTATAATATTAAAAGTCAAGAGTCAATCAGCAGTAGAGTCGACACGACTATTATTGGACAGACATTCCAACACAACTAAACATAAGATCACATCTCAAACTAATAGTAAAATTAATTGATAACTAGTGTTGAGATCTCTCTCTCCTGTCATTCGTCTTTCTAATCGGACTTTGAATGAACTGATAAACACAGAGTTAAACAAACAAATTGAATGCATTTTCCTATCAATTAAACTCCCGTTTAGTTTAATACAATCAATGCATCAAATATTTAGTACTGTAGTGAAAATATTCAATTAATTGAATTAATGACAAATAACCCAAATAGATAATATATTCATTTGTTTTATTGTCGGAATAGTTTTCAATATTTCCTATCATGAGTTTATAATTAAAAAAATAAATTTCTAAAAATAACAAAATATCCTATTTATCTCATATTATATGTCAAAGTGACTAAGAATTACATGAAAAACAAAATAAGAGTCACTTAGCAATGAATTTGCTAAACAATATTTACTAAAACTTTAAGAAGTCTACAAAACGTACATTTGAACCAATCATCGATTATATGAACGGAGTTATGTGAAATTAATTCATATAATCAATACTGTAATAATAATTAACTTGTTGT